TATATATATATATATATATATATATATATCGGTGGTCGAATATAAAAGTCAATTGGAATCGTCAAGGCGGAGGGGCCAGGTCTCGTAGTCGCAGGTTCACAGACTCATCACATTAGATTTAAGAAAATCGCTTAGTTATTAAGTTTTGTAAGCACTTGTGCTACCCGCCGTCAGTGAAATGTATTTCTAAATGTGTACCAGCAGTTAAGTCTCAGTACAGAAAATACTCGTTCTCCGATTCAGTAGATATGTTCTCAGCTACTACGGAAATTTAGCATGTCATTATGAACGTTACATTTTAGGGCTTGCTGTAACACCTGCGAGGTCCATTTGAAACTTCCGTATCAATAAAACAGTAGTTCGAATATACCTTCGCACACGGCTGTCCAGATTACCTCGTGGTGCCTAAAGCTCAAGATATCGATCGACGTCTGATAGCATAGTTAGATTTCAAATATAACTTCTACCTCGTTAAAAATGACACAGTAAGAAAACGTCACCATTAGTACATACGATTAATTGAGATTTGCTAGAACGGGCGGTGGTGGCCCGGTGGTAACGTCACTAAATTATCAACCCGGGGATGTGTTCGAAACCCATCACCACCGCCTGACTTTCCTCATTGAGTGTTGAATGGCAGCCCTGTGATTGGCCGCTTCCCCTTTTCTGAAAATTGTACCATTGCATATTCAATAAAAGGAATTAAAGGAAAAAGAAAAAAGATAAAGATCTCTGGTTGGAAAAGGAGAGAGAAAAGGAGAACGCTGGGGATGTGGTCGGAACTAACCCAGAGAGGAAAGAATTGGAGATGTGTCAGTCAGTATGATAGTACGTTGTTGCGCACACTGCTTGTCAGAGCTAAACTTTTTTCCTCACATCGATGATTCTAAAAGAAACAGCAACCAATTTCAGCCCAACAGCAATCTAGGAATGACTACTGTGCTTGTATTCGTAAAAATTACAGTACGGAACCTTGTGTCAAAATATACTGTATTTCCACATGAAAGTTTAATTTAAAAATACGCGATGTTGCTGGTGAGCATTAATTTTTTGATTAAAACATGGATAAGTGACTTTTCTAACAAATTTCACGAGACTTCTTAATACGCAGGAACACGTTTAGCCAGTAATAGTAAAGGGTGGAGTTCTTGAACAGGAATTTAAACGTGCAAAATGCAGATTTTAAAGCTACTATCCGCGTGTTTTGTCATTCGTAATAACAAGCAATTATAAGTTATTTATTCAAATTGTTGTTTGGTAGGTTTTAAAAGTTCCCTAGCCTCGGTGGACTTCGAATTTACGCATGGACGCTTACGCTTTACAAAGGATTAGGTGGTGGCCATGCGCGTGTTAGAATCCCACTGGGGCCACTGAGCTTTTCACGTTTCAAACAAAATTAATTGACAAAATTAAGAATTTGACAGCATTCGCAGGAAACCTGTAAGATTCGACAACCATAGACAATGAAAGTGGGCATAAACGGAGGTGTACCTGCTTGATATCGAGTTGCTCGCCTCGGATGTATCATCTATCTCTTTGGATATTTGATCTGTTCCTGGCCAATTCTGCTTGTCATCATGTTCGTCAAGATCATCTAAAGTGATAATTTCGTTTTCTGTGGCCAGTCCATCTTCTTCCTCGGCTTGTTCCGTAAAATTTCCACCGTCTAAGTTCATATAGTCATCGCCACTTGGGCGGTTATACTGCACGTTGTGTAGTGATTGATCGGTTACAATCTTCGTTGGTTTGGAACCATTTCTTTCAGTAATCTCTCCACGAACTGCATACCGATGCCTTGGTGGTATAAGTCTGTTGCGAAAGTTCTCTTCTGGTAGCTCACTAAACGTTGGAACCCCATTCAGAGTGGAAGCATTTCGTGTTGTTGTGACTGTTTGCCCGGCATCGATGACGTGTGGAGTTGGAATCCGCGTAGCGCCTCTCTGTTGATTTTGAACGTTCCGGAGAACCTTGGTTTCCATCGGTTCAGTGGGCGAAAAAAATCCCATTATTGAATTAAGCGATACTGGAGCCTCATCCCTCCTTCAGTTGTTAAGCACAAGATATAAAACTGGTGTTTTACGCGCATGTGTGAATGATTTTAAGTGTCCAAGTAGGAACGTTAGTCCTTATGATTACCGAAGCCTGAAAGACTGAATCCTTTTTAGAGATTTTCAACACTCAAATGCGATGGAAATGTTTGTGATAACCAACGAAGAGCATCTAAGAGGTATTTCGTCCTATTTGGGACTCGTCAGCAAGGCGTACCTTTTGTGTCCCTGTCAGAACTCGAACCGCAAATCACAAACATTTCCATCGCATTTAAATGCATACAAACAGTGGGGAACTAACGGTCTCCCAAGGAGCGAAAACCACAACCAAAAATCATCAACAGTGGCTGGTGCCAGTGAAAAACCGAAAGGGTTAATCCAAACATTCAACATTTTCAGCATTCCACTGTTTCTTAATAACTCATGAATACGTAAATAACAAATGAGCGTGCTAACCTTCTTTTCGCATTTTTTTGAGTATACAACTGTGCACTCAACGTTCAGGAGGCGGACCGGGAACACAAGCGTCGAAGGCGAGATTCACTTTCAGAACCGTCAGGTCGCTATTTCGATGACGTTAACCACTCGAACACCCGAATCTAGACAGCTTACTAGTAGAGTTTTAGGAGAAACTAAAACAAACTGACGAACAAGCTCGTTTTCAGTGTTTCGTATTCATCCTTATATAATACGGAAAATCTCCGGTGGATTAAGCCAGTTAGAAATGTGTTCATGCACGGTCATTCATTTTCAGATATCCCCTCATCCCGGTTGTGGGGTTAGCCGTAATCTCATTCATAACAAGCCTTGTGCAGTTATGGATGGGTCATGGGAAGTTGAGTGCTTGCACAACTAGCACACAAAACAAGGTATGTATAAACGAATGCACACTGGTTTACTGCGTAACGAGGATGCGACACATTGTCAATTTTGGAGACGAACCACTCACTCTATACAGTGTCTTAAATGCCTTAGCTCCTCCATTCAAACCGTGAGTTGAATCTACAAGATTTGACAATGTGCTGCACTTACTAGCTGCTTGATCACCTCAGTTTCCAAACAGGCTGGATGCTGTTTGCGGATATGATACAACAGATATCTATACTTTTTTCGGTTTAAGATGTCCGAAATCCAACTTAAGATGTCACAGTATGAATTTAAGATGTCCGCGTATCAAGTTAAGATGTCATGTTGCTTTGTGGGTAGTACCTTGCACAGTACAGAGTGAAAACATAGCAACATGACATCTTAAATTCATATTGTGACATCTTAAATTGGATTTTGGACATCTTAAACTGAAAAGGTTTAGTTATGTGGTTCATATATGTAGTTCCATAGGAAAAGCGATATCCTAGGATCAAATATGACACATCCATCCTCAATGAAATACTCTTCGGATTATTTTTTACCGATGCAGTTCAATTAGATTGCTCTGTAGTTAACCCTTATCCGCAGATTTCCAGGTAAATAAATTGAGTGAATGCAAAACAGAAGTCACATTTAGTTGCCAAAAGTGCATGTAGGCCGGCACGTTTTCTGAAAAGCTATCACTTGCTACAGTATGATTATGCTTGCTACCAAGTGTAACACCAGAAATGGTTTACTATAACACATATAAACAAACGGAAAACGCAAATTGTCAGGGCCTTGCGCATAGCAAACCGGTTTGTTGACATGCTTATGTAATTTTCAGTAGAGTACAGTGCACTTGGAGTAGGCCATATGTGATCTACGCTTTCTCTTGCCCTCAACCAATCTCGCGCACTGTCAAGTTCAGACTCAGATTTACAGGTTCGTGGAACAGGCCGGTAGATACTTCGTGACTGATGTTTTGTCACTCTATCCACACATATCATAATATAGTAGATCCAGTCACTTGTTGACCTGTTCGACCAATTCTACTTTATCATGAATTCACTGAACTCGCAGTTCCTCCGGATATGGAATGCAGCATACTTCGTTCGGCTGAGAGCAAACAAGATTGTTGACCAGAATATAGTGCCTGGTGAGAGCACGCCTTGCTTATGCCACTGTTAGAAAAAACTATGCCTCACCTGTGCGATGTTCATACACTAATATTTACACCGGATAGGCGTGAGCCCAGCGAAAAACTGCACAAATCATGATGAGAACGAGAGCACGGAAAACAATGTCAGAAGCCACGCAGATTCTGAACGATTAATTTGATATTATTAGGAGCTATTGAGAAACAAGTGTCAACGTTATGTTCGGGTGCAGATTATTCAAGTGTTCGAATAATCTCTCCCCGTCTTCCTTTGCATCATAAATGATAAATGTATTATCAAAATACCGGCAGTATAGATCCAGCTTTTTAATTTTGTCCCTCAATTGATGTTATAGGTGTCCGACGAAAATGTCTGCAACAATGGGCCCCAGAGGACTAGTGATAGCTTTCACCTAAGAAAAAAGAACTTCACATTATGGGTAAACAACAACAAAAGCCTTTCCAGCTCATCTGCTGGTAGTTCAACGTGAATGTTCTTTTCTTCCATAGTTTGACTCGGGAAAAGACACCAGGTGCAGACAAGATGAGAGTGGTCCTTCAAATGCCCTTCAAAGGTACCTGCTTACCAAGCGCTTAAAATCGGCCGTTAAGCGCACCTACTACGCAGCTGACCCCATTGTTGTTTTTACAATCGCCCGGTTGTCAATACCATCGGTGAAAGAACCGCTGTCTCCCCAGGCCAAATTTAATTGTATCTATCAGTTCAAGTGTGGATGCTCGGCCACCTNCATCGGCAGAACGGAGAGACAACTGCGTTATCGATTAACCGACCACATCCCGGTCTGGCTTCAGAAAACAATGAGTGGGAACTTCGGAAGTATGAGGTCACTAATGACGCGTAGGAAACTCAGTTCGTCGATCACATAACACCTGGTCGAAATGAAACACTGTGTCATGCTGCGCGACGCGTTCAGAGAGGAGAAGTGCTTATTATTCATTTTCTGTGCAGCCAATTTTATTCAAAGTTTTTATCTATTACTGTCCACGTAGCCGTTACCACCACCATCACATTCGTTACATCATTATTCCACCAACCGGCGTTATTCTGGCATACCCCACTCTGTCAGGTAAGTAGTTTATTCTTGTCCATTGCAAACCGCCGCTTCACTTACCCAGCTACGACAAAAGCAAAAACTAATTTCTAGTGAAGTCAAAAACCGGACCAAGCAACATCACTTTTACAGAGGTTTCCACTCATACTTAGCATAGAAGAAAATTTACTCGAACAATCAGGCTACTTCTAGTGAATGCTTTTGAAGGAGCAGCGAAATAACTAGAAGAATGCTGATCAGGTTCATTCTAAGTAGTTTCTAATCATGTCTGATCAGCCGGCTCGTTTTGGTCTGTATGTATGCAACAATAATAAAGTTGGACAAAACAAATCCAGTAGCAGCAGCACGCGCTCACCGAAACTGGGCTCGGTTCACAGGTAGGCTGTACCTGGTTGGCAGGACCCGGACCATCCACATCGATTATTGGAATCACGTCATCGTCGGTCATATCATTGTCAATATAACGGTTTGATGTGGACAGAAGTACTGTTTGCTGGAAAGGAATGCAGTATGCATACAAACAGACAGCCAGTAACAAAATGACGTTTGAAATGGGATGCGATGAAGTGAAACATCTTGTTCACTCACCACTGACGATCAGATTGAGCGAACAAGTGTGTGTGTGTGTGTGTGTGTGTGTGTGTGTGTG